GCAACCTCAAACTCCTGGGCTCAAGCGATCCTACTGCCTCAGCCTCCCTAGTAGCTGGGACTACAGGCATGCGCTACCATGCCCGGCTAATTTTTTTTTCCTATATATATTTTTTTAGTTGTTCAGATAGTTTCTTTCTATTTTTAGTAGAGATGGGGTCTCGCTTTTGCTCAGGATGGTCTCAAACTCCTGACCTTGAGCGATCTGCCCACCTCGGCCTCCCAGAGTGCTAGGATCACAGGCGTGAGCCACCGCACCTGGCCATGAGACCCTATCTCTTAAAAAAAAAAAAAATAGGTAGCATACAGTCCCAATTGCTGCTGGGCAGCCATTTTGTGTTCGTAAGGGAAGACAGCTTAAGATGACAGATGATCGAGAGTAGCGGTATGAGAACAGCAAATAAATGGGACCAGAGTCCTGACTGAGCCCTGCCTTAAACTCATCTTAACTATATGAGTCAATAAATCTTAACTAAGTCAGTTTGAATTCGTATTTCTGTTATTTGAGATCAAAGGTATTCCGATACATAAAGAACAGGTATACAGGAGTCTAAGTTCTTGATCAGAAGCCTAACTACCCTTAAAATTCCCATATGCAGAGCACAAGTCCCAGCAAAGAAATACTCTATATTACTATTAAGCTTTGACCTTAAACCCCAAGGTGGAAAGGTAAATTAGGCCCTTAAAAGGGCTAGAGAAAGATCTAAGCCTTAAAACCAAACCAGTAAAAAAATGATATATTGTGCTTCTTTCGCCTTCTCCCTTAACCCTATTTCCTTATTTTGGATCTTCCCAAATAAAGAAAAGCAAAAGAAAATTAAAAAGTACTAGAACCTGACACCGCTTCAAGAATTTATTTGTGCCAAAAGCTAGTCTGGAATGTACACACAGGTCTTTGCAGGATAAGGCAATAAGAAGAGACCTCAGGCAGTCATTCTATGCAAATCTTAACAAAGCAAACAGCATTGGAGAAACAATCTCCGAGATGGCTCAAAGCTTTAACTTCTCTATTAGAAAGTGAAGCTTCTCTACCCTCCTCGTATTCGCCCCTATCCCTTCACCCCACTTTAGTCTTTGAATCTGACTAAAGGAACTTAATTCCAAAAAAGTCCAATAAATGAAAGAAAAAAAGTCATAAAATCTCTACATCCAGCAAATACCAATGCTAATATTCTGGGCCTTTTTTGCTATGTTTCCTTAAAAATACTGTTTACTCAAAAAGTTGAATATCCAGTGCTTTGCTTTTAATAAATAAACTCTACAATGAATATGAGATGATTTACTTGACCATTGCTTTAATTTTAGATATACACATAACACATATATTCTCCCTCCTACCTCCTATTATAAACAGTACTGCATTAGGGTCACCGGAAGAATTACTAAAAAATACTGATGCCCTAGTCCCTCTGATTCTGAATTAATTACTATGGGTGATGCTCTACAAAGGTATTTTTTAAAAGCTCCTCTAGGTGATTTCATGTGCAGTCAGGAAAATCCCTGGCTGAGCTAAGACAACTGGGGGAGTAGGGAACCAGACCAACTAGGGGCCATATGCTGCAACTAAAGGAAGCAACAACCACGTAGTCCTATTTTTGAGAAAAGCTGGGAAATCTTGGTTTTTGGATGAAATCTCCTAACACTTAAATACTTGCAATTAATACATATGGGCCAAACAAAACAACTTTCCTAGACAGATTCATTTTTCCAGGCAGCTGTATCATAACCCTAATAAGGAAAGAGATTCCTGTCCTAACCTTTAACATGTACCTCCAGGAAATATGCTTTTATTTCTGAGAGAATGAAATTAAACAACAGGCTAGTGAGAAAACTACTGAAAGATAGGATGAGTCTTATCTGTAGGTGCTGCACTCATTCATTGATTTATTTAACAAGTATTTATAGAGTCCCTACTATGAAATAGGCATTGGATATTTAACGGTAAACTAAACAAAGGCATTTTGTTTCAGGAAATTTCATCAAATAAAAAAACAGGGTAAACTATGAGCGGAACACAAAAAGAGTCTCAACATCTAAAGTGAATAACTATCTGGCATGCTAGTTGCAACTACTTTAATATTCATTTGGCTAATATTAATGAAAGAGCCAACAAAGCTATCCTCATTCTATTTCTAGGTAGAGGAAAACAAGAATATTATGATGCACATCTATGTGTATAAAGATTATTCAGTAATATTATTTCAGGATTAGTTTTAGAGTACAATTACTAGATGAGTATAATCATTTTTAGAAGTTCTTAGTTCACATATTTTAGAACTACATTTAAAAGGCTTAAAATTTAAACTACCATCTGTGTGTCTTAATACCCTAAATACTTTAATACCCTAAAAATACTCTTGCTTAGTTTTCTGGCATTTTTCAAGTTTTCTGCAATGAATATATGTTACTTTAAGGATGAAAGGAAAACAACTCCTATATAAAAAAGTTAGTAACACGGGGAAATGAGTTTTATGTAATAGGAAGAAAAAGAATACAAAAATCACCCAAATATATGATCATTTCAATCATATGAAAAAGATATATTCATAAAAAAATGACAGGAAAAAAATATTAAAATACTAACAATTGTTTTCTCTTAGGTTATGAGATGTTGAATAATTTGTTTCTTTCTGCTTTTGTGTATTTTCCACAGTGAGCAGGTGTTACTTTTATAATCAGAAATAAATAATTATTGAAAACAGAATCATCAGATTACGGTCTTTTCAAAACAGGGCAACTTTATGTCAGAAATTTAACCTTTCCATGTTCTTTTTTTGTCTGTTTGTTTTCACACAGAGTCTTGCTCTATCACCTGGGCTAGAGTGCCATGGAGTCAGCCTATCTCAAAATAACCTCAAACTCCTGGTATCAGGCAATCCTCCTGCCTCAGCCTCTCAAGAAGCTGGGACTACAAGCACATGCCACCATGCCCAGTTAATTTTTTCTATTTTTAGTAGAGACGGAGTCTCGCTCTCGCTCAGGCTGGTCTTGAACTCCCAAGCTCAAGCTATCCTCCTGCCTTGGCCTCTCAGAGTGCTAGGATTACAGTCGTGAGCCACCAGGCCTGGCCTTTAACCTCTCCATGTTCTTATCAACACTCTATTCAGTTCATGTACATTAGAAACCAGTCCAATCCCAAAGCTCCTGAACCAAATACAAAAATTAAAACATCAAAAGAAAATAAATAGGGTCAGATAAATAGTTGTGGGATACCTGTCATGACTAACGCAACCCAGATTCTCACAAGTACCCATATAAATAGAAAAATGACAGACTAATATTCACTTGAAACTTTTCCAACCTTTTAAAATTTTAATGTAAAATAGAGATAAATATTCCTTGTGACCAATATTTTATTTACCTTTATTTCAAAACCTGGCACAATGCTTAGTACTTGAAAGATACTTGGTGTTTGATGAATAAAAACAAAGCATGAGATAGGATGTAAAATTGGGGATTAGTAAAATATTAGAAAAAACTTTGAAAGAACAATTTAAAAAATAATTTTCCTAAAAATACAAGCTGTAAAATGTACATATATAAATAGTCTATGCAGGCTGTCTAGCACCTAGCTGGCTACACTGAATATAGATGATATGAGTAATGTTTTTAATATAAGCTATGTATAAATCCTATAAAAGGAAGTCTTAAAATTATACCAACTCATAAATATCAGGAAGAAACAATCAATTAGCTGCCTCTCAAGCTCTTTTCTGATCTCACAAAACTCAAACTCCAAGTAAAATCATAGATATTTTTGGAACTAATAAAATAATCAAAATACTTAAAATACATTATCATTTAGTTGTCACAAAAATAATACTTATGTTGCATGCAAGTATAGAAAATAAAGTAAAAGAATTGACAAACCTGCAAGTTACCCCTCGCAATGAATCCAAGAAGCAACTGGATCTGAATTTGAGAGAGTTTTATCCACACTGGACTTTCAGAATACCAGACTGACAGACAGTCAAAGAGCAGCATCATATCCTCTAAAAGCTAAGGAAAAAATTACGAAGCAAAAACATTCAGTTTTTTAATCCACTGATGAGTTTTCCCGAAGACTAATACAAATCATAAATATTTCAAAACTAGTCCAATGTTCAGTTGGCAAAAGCCAAAAGAGTCATACTAGCAATGGCTAACAAAATCTGTGACTATTCATCACATCTTACCCACCTTGACTGCATCTGATTATGTATTAATGCTCTAAAAAGAGGTGGTACAAAATTTCATTCTCTGAATAAAGTTCTTAACTTCCCAAAATATAATTTCAAAAGGATATTACTGCACCTTTTCAGTCCACATATTTGAGTTAACTAGTCCCTCGGATTGCAGAAAGTCTTGTATGATCAGCATGAGTCGGAAGCCGTTTTCAGCAGTTACTGGGTTAGTTTTTGCTTCTCTGTTTTCTGTCACTGCCCATTCTAACATCTTCTGTAGCAAACTAAGTGTAAAACAGAGTCCTCTTAAAACCACTGTGATCTTAGGAAGATAGTAGGACATGAAAAAAAGGAAAAAACAGCTTGAGAGGCAATTCTTTATCTCCAAAGAGACACCATCACTGGCAGATATCACTAAGACATTATGGATGGAATTTAATAATGATGGAGTAACTTTTTAATTTTTTGGAGTATCAATCTTTAATATATCTAATACTAAAAGTCAAAGTAAAAATTACGTGTTTTACTTGACTATAAAAAGCTATGACAATAATTCACATTCCATCCTCCATAAGATACTTAAAACAGTTTCTCTAAAGCTGGAAATTGGGAAGTTTAGGGAAGAAAGGCTCATTATGCCTTACAGAGGGTCTAGCCCTGTAGAAAAACAAAGAGGTAATTCTACCCTGGTGTGCTGTTGTTACAGAGTCCTATTATTTATAGGGAACCCTAAATCCTTCAGATAAGTAATTTTCATGAAAACACTACTCCCTTCGTAAGCATGGAAACACTCAAAACTTTGACACGCCTATAAAACACCATGTATCAAGTCCTCAAATCCTGCAGAAAACAATTTAAACAAGGAATCTGTAATCTTTTAAAATTTAAATTTATTTAAGATCTCAGTCTCCTCACATTTGAGTTAGTTTGGGATTTCTCTTTAGGTCCTACTAGAATGGCAAAAGACAGGAAAAGGAACTGAACACAAAGTGTCTCCTTTTCTCCCTTTAAATCCACTGAATACTGAATAAAAGTTCAATAATGAATATAATTTCAGACTCCTACCCACCTTCAAAAGGAGGGTGGAAAATCACTAACTGAATGCTTACGTTAGTTTTATTTCATCTGATGGTCGAAGTAGCTCACTGGATATTCCTGGCTTAGTTAGTGCTGAAAACACTTGTCCTCGTTCAATCCAAGTATCATCATCAGACTTTTCCAGTCCCTTACACATTACATGATTCAAAATATTTGTCAGTAATTGAAGAAGCTCCTCTTCACATCTCTAGAAAAGATAAAGGAATTTTGAGAAATTGGAGTGAGGAGGTGTTAAAAGTACGTAATAAGAACTATAACACATAATGATTGTAATTGTTTAACACATTTTTAAAGTGCCTTGATGAACCTGGAACTTTTACTAGGCCCTAAAGATACAAGATGAATAAGACATTGGCTTTGCTGTCAAGAAACTCACAATCTAGTGACTTCTAGGCTTCTAAACCTTAGATCATGAAACTTAGAACATGAATATGAAAATTTTAACAACTGCTTGCACAATTCTAAGGATTAGAAGTATATTACATATGAAAATAAAAATAAGGAATTTTACCTCTTGGCTTTCAAGTAAAGAGAAGTCATCACTAAAGCCCATATCATTTGTGATGCTGCTTTCTTTGTCAGACTGCACGGAAAATGACTTACTAGACTCTATTGGTGATGGTGTACTAGGCAGGCTGTCTGGCATTTGACTTCCACTATCACTCATTTCACGTGAGTCAATTCCACTGAGATCTAAACTCAGATGTGAAGGGTTACTATGCCAGAATTCTTCTTGATTCTCTGATTTGAAAGACAATTCTCCTACAGAGCTATCTTCTTGAAATAACAGTGTGTTTGAGTCTAAAGAGTGTTTGTCTTCCAAACTCCACTGATCTGAAGACGTATTAGCTGAGGCAAAAGAGTTGGTTTTTTCCTCATCTGTCTTTTCATCGAAGTTCCTCTTAAAATCTTCAGTTGATATATTTTTATTATTGTCTTTCATTAAAACAGCCCTACTGTGCTTATGAAGAGTATTTCCATTTTCAAAATTTGCTTTTAAAAAAAGCCTAACTAAGGTGTCTTGCCAACCCACTTGTTGTGATATTTGATGTGCTGCATCTGGTTGGGACTGCAAAATCTGTAAAATCTGCAAAGAAATTAAGAATACAAAATTCTTCAAAAAGTACACAGTGCTTTATATCAAGAATAGTCTCTTTTCAGTTATTTTAATGACAAAGCAATTGGATGATAAACTATAGAAGGATATACTTTCAAAAGATTATGTTCTTACTTAGATTATAAACAGATTAGTTGTGTTTTCAACTAATCTGCATACTACTCATTGTACAGAGGCAGGATGTACTAAATTATTTGCTGAAAGATAAAAAAGGAAAACTTTTATTTTTTCCTGTCCATTCTAGTTTGTCCTGAAGGACAACTAAAATGGTCTTCCACATGCCAAGACACACGTTATTAATTTAATTTGGTCACAGAGAAAATATAAATAGAATGATGATATATATAAAATGTAATAAGCTGATATCCTCTCAACTAAATACTTTCCAAAAGCCTATTATATTCATCAAATATTACTGAATATGTACCTATGTGCCAGGCACAGTTCTAGGCTCTAGGGTTAGGCAATCGAATAGAACACATAAGACACTTTGATAGAAGCTGGGATATACCAAGAATAATGTTTTCCTGTCTCATCTTTTTCCCAACAAAGTTAATGGTTGCTTTTGAAAAACATTTTGTTCAGTAAATCTATACTAAAGCTTATCTTGTCTAGTAAGTTTATGTTGTACAAACAAAACAAAAACTAAACTTTAATTCCAAAAAATTCATTCCAAAAAAACAGATGCTGCTACTTAGCTGGAATTAGAATTTGAAATTAAAGAGTAATGATGACATGGGAATATGTATGATCTCTACCGAGATTATTTCAATTTTTGGATAAAAACAAGTTCTTAAAAATCTTCAGAAATTCAGTTAAGATCTTTAAGACATTTTTATCACAAAGCCAATAAACTTCTATGTAGATGAAAAGAACTTTGGCTCTCAAGGTTTTGAATATCTCTCTTAACAGAAGTTCTAACTCTGACAAGTTCATAGCAGGGAATGAATAATGTTGGCAGGGACTTCAATATTAATAGTACTAATGTATGCTGATACAGAAAGCAACAAGTCACAATGACATGTGAAATTTCTTACTTCACTACTGTTATATCAGTCAGTGAGCTACCATTACTTTGTTGGTGCAGAATATGAATTTTTTCCTTCCAGATTAAGCTTTGCTTGGCAAAGAAACTTTTCATAATTTCATGACTTTAAAGTTTCCATAAAATAAGACTTATGTCTATTTCACACACATACAATGGATAAAAACCAAGCTGCACTGAGAGTTCTTTCTAATTGCACACTGAAATAAAAGGATCAATTTACATGACCTACTTCAAATACTCAGGGTTGACATGCGGGGAAATAGTCACTGTCACACACACTGTGTAAATGTAAACTGGTACAGTTATTTTGAAAGACAATGTGTGCCTGCAAAGGAGAAGGATGGAGAAGAGCAAAAAAAAAAAAAGAAGGACAGTGTGGCAAAATCACATTTACATTTTGAATTCCATTTGACATAGTAATTCTATTTCATAGAGTATGCCTACATATGCATTACCACAAACAGGAAAAGATATACATAAAACGATATTCTTAACAGCAGTTTATAACATGAAAAAAACAGGAAATAACCTAAATGTCTATCAATAAGAATAGAATAGCCATAGAATGAAAAACTATCAGCCATTAAAAAGATATATATATATACACACACACACATATATATTGTTGTTGTTGTTGTCTGTTTTGTTTTTAACTGACAGAAAAGTACTGTGACATAATTAGGAGGTAGAATTAAAAAGAGAAGCAAGGAAGCAAATTAAACAGTAAACAGGTCAGTGGTTACCAGTGCAGGAGAGAGGTGGTCGTGATCTGAATGGGGCGGACAGGATAACTATCTCTTGCCTTAAAGGTTAAATGTGTACTGAAGACAAATAATTGTTGGAATACTCATAAATATAGAAAATTCTTTCCAAAGAGTTGAAAGATTCAGAAACTCTAAAATATGGTATATAAATTAGAAATGGTCACAATCATTGAAGGTTCTTAATAAAGAAACTATTCTCTGGCAATAAATTTTTGACTCTGGAAAGGGAATATTTCCAGGAGACCATGAAGAGCTAAGAACAACAAATTGACA